TTAAGAATAAGGGGAAAAAAAAACATTTTAACTTGATTTTATACAATCTGAAATGTCCCTAACATTTTTAGCTGCATACGATCTCAATAAATATGCTAAGCAAACATTTGATCTTATTTATAGGTATAGTTCTTCCTGATTGATTTGGCCTCGAATATCTGAACGTCTTTGGGAAGCATCTGCACTCGCTCGCGTTAAATTTATATGGCTTGTGATGCAATTCGCTTTGCTCGTCGCATCGTGTTGCCTGTCTAATGCATGCACATCTATATATCCGAGTATATCTAGGAACCGATTCAACCTGTGCCGGAGATAAACGGTTGTCGCTTAAAGCCTTTGATATGCCAATTCTCATAGTTGATGTCCCGATACCTATCCTTCTTTACTTTCTTTAAGATGTTGGCAAGTGGATGGAAGTGGATGGAGATTAAAGATTTTAGATTTAACTTGCAGTTTTTATTGTCTAGTTCTTGTTGGGTGATGGCAGCCACTTTTGGTTTTAAAACATATTTTTGTTGGCTAATTTTATTTGTTCTACATCAAGATGCTTTATTTAATCGCATTTACTCTAATTGAGTTATCCATTGTTTGTTCAGATTTTTGGCCATTTCTGGTTTGTGGTAACAAATCAATTTTGCAAAGCCTTACCGCATGAAAATCTAATGAAAATCTAATAAAAATCTAATAGGTAAAATGAAAAAGATTTTGAAGCAGAAGATAATTTGTGAAGATACAGTTTGCTGAGTTGTGGAATTATAAGTCAAATATGTTTTAATAAATTTAAAGTAACATATGTAACAATATTATATTTTCAGCAAGATAAATGCTTAGTTAAAGTTAATCTTAAACTAAATTATTTGTGTCTTACATTTAATATAACTTCTTGATTCAGTCCGTCAAAAACATTATTAAATGAGTTTGTTAGAGCGGTAATTATGCCAATTCCCTGATCGTAGCCACTTAGCACCTTTGCCACCTAATAAGCTGTCTCTTCGCGCTCGACCAAGTAATTGCACAGCAACCAAGCAAGTTGAACGTTTCCAGATGCGTCGTGACCTGGAGAACTGTCATTGCTGCACCACCCAATGGCTAATGCACCGACATAACCAACCATCCATTTGTCTATCGACCCATCATTTCAGCCATTCATCCATGCATACATCCATGCCATCCATCTCTTGTTAGCTCTAAACACAATCGAATGACAGACAAAAGACATCGGGAGAATGCAGTTTGAATATTACGTATACGCCATGTGGTCTGCCTGACACACTGACTGACTGTTTGTCTGCTTTAGCACTTTAGTTTTTCACGATTCAGCTATTTTTTTGCACCGAGCCCGAGGCATTTAATTGAACAAGTGAGCACTTTATTAAAATGTCACTCAACTGTGTTTAGTGCAATATAGTAGCTGAGGTGCAGGTGTGGGAATGAGGTGAGCATTTGATGGCGATGGTGCCAAAGGGTGAATGCGGGAAAGGCCGAAGACGTGGCCTGTGCAAATTTCATTACAGTTGTGTCAGCCATTTTGACAGCCCGTTTCACCTACATTTAGCACATGCCCTGCAACAATCGGTTTTAGACAATAGGCTGTTATTAAAATTTTCGGCATTTTGTCGCTTTCTGTAGACCTATTTTGTTGGTAGAATTCAATCTTGAAAATTTTAAAGCCTGAAATTAAAGTTTAATTTGAAATCGTATTGCTAAGTAAATGGTAGACAGAAGACCATATTTTTTATTCATCTGAATTTCATACAGCTTTATAAAACACGCTTCCACCATCCTCTCAAACAAATTATTTCAGATTTTTAATAACCCTACATAAAAATTTTATTGTAGAGCGTGTTTGGTGAAGAAAAATTATTTGTTTTATGCCAGCCTCGTTAAAAGTAATATACCCTCTATGCTCACCTATTACCACGTATAAAAAGCTACATAAACAGCAACAATAACAGGAAGGGGAGCAGTTGCAGTCACGGGTGCCGCAGTCGACTGCATTTAGCGTATGCATATTTAATATTTACCCGGCAAGTTGCAAGCGAAACGAAACGAAACAACAACCGAAACTCCAGAAACTCTCCAGCCGAAGCTAAGGAAGAACAGCTGAAAAAAGGGTTCCGAACGGGAGTTGCAGAAAGGAACATGGCCCATACTCGTATATCATTTGACCCTGCTAGCAGTTGCCCCCATATCCTTTTCCCGCTAACAAGAGGCAAACAACAGGAAAACCGAAAGAGTGAAAGAGCGCAAAAAAAAGTTTTGAAATGAAAAAGCAGTCAGCATATGAAATGAGTTTATTACTCAAAATGTTCCACTATATGTGTGTGTTTGTGCGGCACGCTTTAAGTGGCATGCACCACGTTAGGGGCGGTGGGGGCGTGGCAGTGAACATAAAGGGGCTGACGTCGTTCTCCGCTGACGAAGCCACCGCACTCTGCAGCAAAATAGTTAGCTAGATTTATTTATAAATAATTTCCAAGCATAAATCGCTGCGCAGCTTAATCAAATTTACGCCAGACAGTGAGTGTTGAGGGTATACGGCAACGGAAATAAATCTTTGGTTAAATGTTTTGTATAAAATATATTCTCCTCAATTTCAGGTTCTTTTTTGTAACTTTGACTTGGCTAAACATATTTAAAAGACACTCATGATTTTTAAGGTTTTTTAATTCAGTTTTCACTCACTGTAACTAATTTCTCCTGAATTTATCATAATATTTGCAATAAAGCGAAAACACTCGCAGCACCACACAGCGAAGTCATCCGCGTTGTGCGAGGAAAATGCTCCAAAAATGCCAAACAGTGTTAATTAAGACCGACATTTGCTGGAACAACAACATTACAACATAATGCAAATCAGCAACTGCAGCATCGGATGCGTTGGCAGCGGATATAGCGCAGCGGAAATTGGACTTTAGATGCCGGGCCATTGATATTTAGCCTTGCCTTCCGTTCCACCAAATTGCAGATTGAAGATGCAAATTCCGACGTGCAATGCATATGTCCACCCTAAATGCGTTTGGGTGTCTGTCTGTCAGGGTGTGAGTGCACTTCTGAGTACCTCAAATTGCTTTCAGTGTGGAAAAGTATGCCCCGTCAAGAAGCAGCGACTGCTGACAGAGAGTGGCTCGAAGAGTTTCCCAATCAAATGGGAAAATTGAAAAAAAAATAAAACTGTGAAAAAGTATTTAACTAAAATCCATTTAACTGAAAAGCAATAAGTAATATTTTTCTAATAAGTTGAATAATATTAATATTATCAAATATTTTAGGTTGAGGGCTTTCTGAGAATCATAAAATAAAATTTTAAATAGTGTAAAAATTGTATTCATTGATTAAAAAAAGACCTGAATCTACCGACTTGCTCTTCAGCGATTTGACTAAGCGCATTAGCTTTAGTTTTAACATTTTTTCCACTGGGCCAACAGGACCAACGTTGGTTTTTAGTGAAAGAGGGAGGCATTGGCAGAAGGTCGCTCCTCTGCATTAGCTGGCCTGCAAGCGGCTCAAGTGCAAAATCGAATTTAGCTAACGGAATTTCATCTTGCTTGCCAAGAATCTCACACCATACTTTTTTTGCGTTATCCCTCCTCAACCTGAGCAAGTCCCTTTAACTCTTTAGTTCACACGTTTTCCTTATAAAAAAACCCACTTTTCTAACAGCAGCCGACGAGGGCGATAAGCGCTTGGAACATGCGTGCAAAAAACACACATAAGGACATCCCTGCAAAATCTGAGCACAGAAAAAATATTACATATCAAATTTATACGAGAATGATTTAAGTAGCACAAATAAATTCAGTGCTTTTATAATTGCTATGGTACCAAATGCTTTAAAAACATTTTTTTATTGATATATATAGATAAGTATTTTTCAAAGAAAGAGAATAGTTTGTCGCAGTGCCTTCAAGTCCCTTCTAATGTTGGTCACAAAAAAAAACCTTGAAAGGGGAAGGTTTTTAGATGTGGTAGGGTGGGAAATGTGCAAGGGCTGCTTAGTTCGGGGTCAACGGGTGCCGCAAATTTCAGCTGGAGCAGCAGCATCAGCACCTTTGCCATTAACCCAACTCGGTTCGTTTTGGTTCGGTTTTTGCTGGATGCTGCTGCTGCTGCTTCCCTTTTTCCTATTAGTTTTCGCCACATGTTTGTGTGCACCACCCCCCTTTCGAGTTGCCCCAACCGTCAGCCTTGCCTCGAACATACCTGCGCTCACCTGTTCGTTTTTTGTTTTTAAGTGCAACATGAAATGTGCATACCAAGGAGCAGGCCAAACCAGACACGGACACGAGCCTGGACAGACTCTAGGTATTCCCTCCGCCCAAGCCCCACTTCCCCTCGGCCAACCCACTCATCTGCATTTTGCTTGACTCATCCTTAGGCGCTGCCTCCAATTCACCACTGACTAATACACTCCCAGTGGTTGTAGCTATAGATATATGCCCGTGTGTCGACTATGTATCCAATGTTTTCGTAGTCTTGTTTTGGGGTCCAGGAACTAAGATATATGGCAGCTGCCAAAAGATGCAAAACATGACTTTTCTATACATACGTATTAAACAGTGCCTCCCAAAACTTTGCGGGCCTGTATAGTAAGACGGGGCTTGGATCAGAATAATTTGTGAATATAGCAAAGGTTGTGAGTACTTCACTATTTAAAGAAGCCTTCTAAAAAAATATTTTATGATTTAACATTGTTACTTTAGATTTTATACACTTTTATTGTAGTAGCAGACATTGTTTTAAGATGACAGTGGATGTCATGCTGTCTGGTTGTCGATGTCAAGTATAGGAAAAGGGTCATTAGTGTAGAAAGGACCTGCACGAGTATGTTTGTCAGCTACTCGATGTGAAATTCCTTGCAAATTACAACCACCGCATGCTCAATTCAACATTATCCACCACATTAACAACAGACAAATTTCGAATGCATGAAAATATTAGTGAATTATTAAAAAACCGTAATGGAATTTGAAAGTCGGTAAATAAAAATGGGTCACACATAGTATACATAACATAGTATATATATTTATAGTATATATACATTATTATATTTGTAAAAATTTATCTGATATGTTAGATATATGGTTTGTTAGAGTACAAAAACGTTTTCAAGAAACTTTCCTAATACTAAAAGGAAAACTTCGTTGCGGGCGGCTATGCCTTCTCGCGGTTACTCCCAAAGTACTGCTAAAGCTCATTTTTGTCCTGTGCACCGAATTGAGGTTGTTAATAATGGTGTCCAAATACACGCTCTTCTGCTCCAGGCGCTGATGTTCGGAACGGAGTTTCCTGACCACCACTCGCTTGCTCCGCAGGTGCATCACGGTGGCATCGTAATCGCGCAACATATCCGGGTATTGCATCAAACAGCCGGCCTTTCTCAGCCTTTCGGCCTCTTTCTTAATTCGCTTGGCTTGTTCCATTGCCACACAGAATTGATTCCTGAGCTTTTTTTTCCCTGCTCCAGATTTCTTAACTTCGACTTCATGTTTCCCAGTAAAGCTGCATGGTTTTTTCTGTTGTTCCTCCAATGGGCCAGTGCATGGATTCCGTAAATGGTGCGTTCGCGAAATTGTTTCAGCTCCATGTCTCTCTCTGAAGAAACAATGAACTTATTGAATATTAAAAAGTAGTAGTAGTAGTATACATTCTAAAAAAAAAAACCCACCTTCAAGCTTAGACAACAGCGTTTGATTTTGGCCTTGATTGAAAATATATTCATTAACACTCAAGTCGTTGCCCAGTTTTTCCATTTGCTTTGATTTCTGCAGAAAGAAAATAGATAAAGATTTCTCAAACATAAATACATAGACTCACATTTTTTATGGCCTGCAGTCGATGGTTAACGAAGATCAATTCCTCTCTAAGATTGGAGATTTCGGAACGGATATCATTCATTTTTTGAAAAAGATCGTTTACGACGACTTTTACACGATCGAAGCCTTCCTTGCAAACTATTTCTTTGACTTTGTCCTCAAAATGAGTTATTTTCTCGGCATCCAATGTGCGGGTCTTTTCTTCCTCATCCGTTAAATCTTGAAGTTGTTGATGGTATAGTTTCTCAGTTTGGTGCTGTTGCTCCAAAAGGCCATCCAGTTCAGCCAACGCACATTGATACCTTTGGCGTTGGATCGGTTTTACTTGCTTGGGTGATATTACAAATGCGAACTCCTTACGGCGCACAAAATGCTCAGTAGTGATCTTTTCAAGGGCCTGATTACGCTGCTCCTCAATTTGAAGATCAATGATCAATTCATTTAGCTTTTTAAGCATTTTTTCCTTGTCCAAAAGTTCAGACAAACGACTTGAATTTTTATCAGCAGTGTCCACCACTTCATTTAACAATCCATTAAGAAATTGGTTAACAACTTCTTTGTTCATCATATGATATTCATTAGACAAATCCGATGAGTCTTCTTCGTAAATTGTCGCCCTGGGCCTAATGCTCAACATGAAATCACTGACATCGATGTCTGGTTTCCTAGTCGAGCTCAATTCCGATTCGCTGGTCTCATTGCTTTCTGTTAACTCTTCGATAAGGGTTTCAGAACTGAATGTATTCAGCTCTACATTTTCTTGCTCTTCGCTTTCCAATACAAGCTCCGCAGAAATTTCCGATTCACCCAATTTTAAGCTACCTTCATCCTCGGGTTCCACAAATTTTTCATCGATCTTCTTGGGTATTTCATTTACTTCCCCACTGCTGCTGGTTGACAGAAGGCTCAAATCAGGAAGACGCTCAAATGTCCTCAGAAAATGTTGCCTGACATCTTGTTCATTCTGCTCATCGAGCTTCTCTAATCTAAAATCCAATTCAGATGCAGAGTGATCTGTTTCTGTTTCAGAATCTGAATGGAGGCTTGTTAATACTTTTCTTGAATCTGAGTTAGAAATGGATTGCTGATCTATTGAGTCTGAATTGATTGATTCGAAACTCTCTATGGTTTCTATGTTAGTTCCTATTTCAAAATGCGCTTGGCTCTTAGTTTTTATAAGATATATTCGATGGGGACCCAAAAATCCAGTCGTCAACATCGTAGAGGGGACTTTAATAGGTTTGATTTTCGGTTTGGCCAAAGATGTGTCCGACGACACAGTGATAATACTTCCCTGACCCGGGGAAGATTCAAAAATCAAACCTCTAGAGAAACGACCACGAACCAAACTTGATCTCCATGATGTTTCTCTAATGGCCGTTTCGGATTTCTCCCGTTTCAGGATCGTTGGCGAAGTATTCTTCACTTTCTGAGGTGCTTTTTTTACACTTTTCGGGCTTTTAGCCGCTTTGGTCGATTTCTCTGGCTTTCCTAATTTTTTTTTGGGCAACCATTTCTTGTTAACCTTTGGTGGGAGATTTGCGCCAGACCCAATTGAGAGTGGTGAACCATTCCTGGATTTCGTCTCAGACTCTTGGGAGTGTGTCGAACTTTGTGATGACCGCGAATATGAAGGAGGCATTGTGGGTGATAAAGAAAACAAAGGAACAAAGAACTATAAAATAAATATTGGGAGAAAAAAGAACGTCGACGCTACTAAAGCAAAAGTGTGTTTGATATTTAGGTCAAAGGTAAATGCCACTTTTTTCTAGATTACTTCAAATTCAAGTGACTAAGGTTGCATTTCAATTAAAACTATAAGAGAGATATAACGTTGAAAGATTCGAAAGCTTATATTTTCTCTTCAGCTTTCCCTTTTTCCCCTTTAAAAACTCCACCTTTCACGCCAATCATCAATCCCAACGCAACCCATAGACAGTATGCCAAAAACCTCTCTGCGGCCCAGAACATTTACCTGCTAAAAAGAGGAAGGCTAAAAGAGACCAGATTCAACCGATTCTCCCTTTTTGGCTGACTAACTTGCAACCTGCCTTTACCCCCGCGAAAGCTGCCTGTTGTTGGTTAATATCATCACTCATGTATGCCGCATACTAAAGAGAATTTATCATGTCTGTTGCTGCTGCTGCTGCTACTGCTGTTGATGCAGCCATAAAAAATAGTAGAGCCTGACGGGGAGGAGGCGAACGCTGGGAATCCTGGCTGAAGGACTCGCGGGGATCGAGGTTCGAGGTTCGAGGCTTTTGGGCTTTCGTCTGCATTGCTTAGCCCCCGAGCTGTGGCGCTTGTCATTGTCGCTCAAGTGTTTCGGCAAACTGGCTTGCCATCTTTAAGGCAAGTGCTGGCGAAAGTAAGACGGCTAGAAGCTGCAGGACGCGGAGGATTGGGCGGAAGGATATCTGTCTCTACCGAGGAAGGGGTAGCAAGTTGTCATCGAATCCTGACAGACTGACGTAATTGAGATGTAAGGAAGGGAAAAAGTGTACGTGGGTTAAAATTGACAAAAAACATATATTGTATAATGAGTAAGTTGATAAATACTTTGTATTTGTATTTTGTATATCAATACAAACAAGATGTTTAAAATAACGTTTAAAATGTATCCCTATTAAATCATATTTAAATCAGTTTGAAGTAAATGTTGTTTTTTTAAGCTTTTGTCATTTTTTGATATTTTGTTTGGAGCTATCAAAAATATTTAAAATACTTTTTAGATATTGGTAAGAGGGTTGCAATATAGTTGCTTACAGGTATCTTTTTTTATTTTACTGGGTACTCGAGCTGCGAAGCTATTTTGCTCTGCTAAGTTTAGTTTGATGTTGCTGCCACGGCTGCTGAATATTCGCAAATTCGTTTACGTTTACCTAGCCACCTCTCCATCCCCATCCCCATTCCCATTCCGCATTCGCCACCCCCTTTACTCTTTCCCCCTGGGGCGACCGCCATCAGCTAAGTAGATTTGGGCTACCTGCATGCAGCCATGCTGCACCTGCAGCGTTTGAGTGGGTATATACTATATATTTCGGCGTTGGTTTGGGAGGGAATGAGTTTTAGCTGCCCCCGCACTGCTTTTCCCTTTTCCTGAAATTTCTGGCAAATTGCCTAAAACTTTCTTTATATTTGATGTAATGAATTCCAGCGAGAAGGGGAGGAGAACTAGATTTCAGATTGGCAGAGAGAGTGGGCAAACAAAAAAACAACAAAGGGGGAAGTGCTTTTGCTGCTGGGCTGCACAGCAAAAAAAAAAAAAAAGAACGGAGTGAAGCGAACGGTGCGTATGCTTAATGTGTAACAGATACTCCACATACGCCACGTTGGATGGGCGTGTGTGCGAGTTCCGTTTCCGCAATTAAAATGTTGATTACATGAAGTACGACTGCCGCTTGTTTGTTTCCCTTTTGTCACGCCCCCGTTTTAACCACCCGATGCTGTGGGCGGCACAAAGGAAAACGGAAATTATGTGTAGATGCGGGCGTTGGCGCTAAGCTCAGCTTTTCATTCGGCATTAACAACACTGGCAAAACGGCGGCGGTGAAGGCAACGGCAACAATGAGCTGAACCCATAAATTGCAAACATTTGGTCGTACTGCGATAAGCAATCCGTTGGCGAATGGAAAAGGGAGCGGCGAGTTTAATGACCCACCTAGATATTAAAGACCAGACAAGCGATAAACAAGAAGGTACCCAATACCATGGTTCAACCTACGCACTTCTTAATATAGCTACGAAAAGCTCAAAAACAAGTCCTTAATGAGCGAAGGTCAGTATATTTATACCCTTGCACTGTCCCTGTGAACTTTAAGAGGCATTCCACTTCTAAGTCTGATTACAATTACAAAAGTTATGAACTTGGAATTAATGACTTTTGGTCAATTTTCAGCAAACCCATTTTTTTGAAATATGGGACAAAATCGGCAAAAAAAAACAAATAAACTTATTATGCAGTTCAATAGACAATTAAAATACAAACTTTTAGAGGTTTGTCCCCTTAAAATCGAATTTAAATTAGAAAAGATATGGGCTAAGAATTGGTCAATTTTTTTCAATTCAGCAAACCCATTTTATTGGAAATTTGATAAAACATAAATAAAAAATCGGCCACAAAAAAAAAAAATTAACTTATGATGCAGTTGGTTATAGAATTCAAATATTTTTGAAACTTTACTTTTAGTTTTATTTAATTGATTCACAGAACTTTTAGAAATAACAAATTTAATAACCTTCAAAGTATGATACTTGTATCAATAAGTCTTGCCAAAATTGAGCGATCTCGTAGTATTTTAAAATTTATTAGCTACTGTTCCATATTTTTGCACATGCCTTTAATAAGAAGAGTGCCCCGATGGCTGACAAAAAAAGTACGACTTACACCGTAATTAAATCAATCATACGACCTGTTGGTAAAGAGGCCAAGACAGAAACAGAAGCAAAAGGAGCAGCCGAAAGAGCGAGTGGCAAGGCGAAGGCAAGAGGCGTGACGAAGGTAACGCCCCCGAATACACCTGGAAAAATTCTCGCCCCTCTTTGCCCCTGCCCACGAACGACTTGCTTAGCATAAATGAATATTTATAATTCAAACGCCTTTTGCCCATACTTTTTCCTTCAGTATGCAAAGCAGCGGCGGCGACTGAAGATCCGCAAAGTGCTTTTTTTCACGAAGAACGAGACAGCTGAACTGTGAGGGGAGAGAGAAGAATAATTTTTTATGAATATTTATTTGTTTTTGTGAAATCGAAGTTCTGCATTTGCTGCTCGCTCTTTTCTCGCTGGAAACAATGCTCTGGTTGACTCGTTCCCTGGCCCTCAAAGTGGCATCAAAGTTTTCCCTTCTTCGGCTGTTGAAAGGTGCGTAAGACAATTTAATTTATTTGATGCATTAAAGCAGAAATATTAACGCTATAAATCAATGAGAACAAAAGTTTTTCGTTTTTTTGTTGTTGTTGCTCTTGTTTAAGTGTATTTTGTATTAATTTATGTGTGTGCCCTTAACCCTACTCCTACTTCCACATCCGTTCCCTCTGGGATAGGCCGCGTATTTTTTTATGACAGCTGCGGGTAAAGTTATGGGACTGAAAGTTGGCTTCTCGTAGGCAGTTGGGATATGATTTTAGGGCGGATGAGACCTACTTTAAGGGCCATCAATATGGGTAACAATAATATAAAAAAAAATTTTCTGAATGCTAAAAAGCAAAAAAAACAAGAAAGGAAGCTAGCTTCGGCAAGCCGAAGCTTATATACCCTTGCAGTCATCAAATATGTCGAACAAAACGCATAAAGGCTAGACAACATCGAATCTAAGACGATTTTTCTATTCATTTTCCATATTTTTGACTATAGATCATATGGGAGCTATACGATATAGGGGTCCGATTTTGATCAAATTTAATTCGTAATTCAAGAGTCGTAAGAAAACTCTATATTCCAAAAATCATACTTGTCTGATGAAAAACAACGATGTTATAATTTTATTTCCATTATTTCTATATAGATTTTTCGATCTTTCCTATGGCAGCTATAAGATATAGATGACCGATTTTTATGAAACTTTTTTTCCAATATAAACGTTGTTAAAAAACTTGATATTCAAAAAATCATGCTCGTGGGATAAAAAACAACGATGTTATCAATTTATTTCCATTAATTCTATATATAATTTTCGATCTCTCCTATGGCAGTTATATGATAGAGTTATCCGATTTTGATCAAATTTAATCCGAAATTCAATAACAGTTAGAAAACGCCATCTTGAAGAATTCAAGTCGATCTGATCAAAAACAACGGCGTGAGAATTTTTTATTTCATTCTCTCATATGGGAGCTATCCGATATAGTCGACCGATCCGGCTCGTTCCGACTTATATACTGCGTGCAATAACTACACACCTTTTGGGAAAGTTTCATCAAGATAGCTTCAAAACTGAGAGACTAGTTTGCGCGGAAACGGACAGACGGACAGACGGACAGACGGACAGATGGACAGACGGACAGACGGACAGACGGACAGACGGACAGACGTACATGCATATTTGGATTCTGATCGTGATGCTGATCAAGAATATATATACTTTATGGGGTCTGAGGTGTCTCCTTCACTGCGTTGCAAACTTCTGACTGAAATTATAATACCCTTTTGCTCTGCAAGGGTATAAAAAGAGGTACAAGCCTTACAGAAAATTTTACATTTGTAAAATAATGGAAAAATATGTACATCCAAACTCTTGCTTATCAGCTTTAAATAAAGTGAATTAAAATATGAGTAGTCGATAGTTGGGGGATCACTTAAATATATAAGCATTTAACATTTGTATATTTTACTAAGAGCCTTTTGAATTGGCCTAGGATTTTGGTCTGCCAGCCACATCTGGATGGAAACAAAATCTACTTCGGTGCTACCTAAGCCAGACTGAACCATTAGCTAAGCACACAAAGAGGACTCCAATCCCCTATCCTCTCCAAACCCCCTTAACCCTCTCATAGCTGAGGCCCCAGTTGAGTACCACATCAGCTTAAAAATTTCTAGTGCCGCACCGATTTCCACCCGGCACAGGAATGAAGTTAAATGCCACTGACCAAGAGAGAGTTTCCAGAAAGATGGATTGAGCATCAGGAAATGCACACAGAAAATTAAAAATATTGAAATTAATGTTTTTTTCTCAGTTTAAATCAGAATTTACTAACCTATTGACTAAATTTATGGCACCTAAATTATATAGTTATTAATTTTCTCTCAATGTAATTAAGAAAATGTGGCATGCAACATCAGTGGTCGGTGTTTGCATAAAGCGGTGCAAAGGATCTGTGTTGGCCAAAAACCAGACTTGAACCTTGAAAAAGTCTGCAGCACTTTTTCATTAAAACCCATTTTTTTAATAATCCCTGCACGATGAAACTTAAACTCGATTATTTTGCAGAAAACGCAATTATTTGCATTTTTTTTTTCATTTTCAATTTGAAATTCATTTTTGCTCATTGTCATTGCTGTTCGGCAAACAAAAGTCGCTCATTTAACCCATTCTCTCTCCATTCAGTTGTGTGCATCGCATAGATAAAGTCATATATCAGGGATAATTTTAACAGCCTTTCCCTTCCTTCACCCCCTCTTTTCTGACGTCATCAGTTGGAGTTTGGCTTTCTGGTCTGTTGGTTCATTAAATATTGTGATAATTTTTCATATTTATTTTTAAGTGGTATACAGTGACAGTTAAATTTACATTTTATTTCATTAAGCAAAGCGCCATTTATATTTGATTTTCACATCCACACTCATTTGTGCCTATATATATGTATTTATTTATTTGCATATTTCGTCCTTCGGTTAATGGCGTTTAATTGAGCACCAGTAAATAACGTGAAAATTATTTCAATTTTTATTCGGTAGCCTTGAAACTTTTGTTCGTATGATTGACGGGGAAAGATTGAGGCCTGCAAACGTATCAAAAATAGCATTTTTTAATGATTTTTTATAATTATTACTGAAATTAATAACACATAGTTTTTTTCGTTTGATTTAAAATGTTTTTCTTTTCGTTTTTATCTGGATGGCTAACATACACATGAAATGTTAGTAACATGTTTTCTTAGTCAACGCCAAATCCCCTTATTTTAAAATTGCTCTGTAAAGTTAAGAGAATATCAAGATTACAGAGAGCCATTTTGAATTTATTCTTTAAAACAGGAAGTTATTTTAATGCATAGAAATGTCTATAATAAGCTGTTCATTCTTCCTTTTAATCAAAAGAACAAATATTTCACTTTGGCAAACGAAAACTTTTATTTTCGCTTTCAATTTTTGCAGCTGGTTTTAACAGCTAACACATACTTTATTGTTATAGGAAAGTTCAGCTGTTAAATTTCACCCTACTATCTGAACCTATTGGAAATGGAACAAACAAAGGGGAGGAAAATGCGAGAGAGCAAAGTTTTCCACACAGAGCTTTCCACCAAGGTAGCTTCCAGCGTTGGCCGTGCGATGGCGCCACCCGCCTACGAGGCACTGCAAACCAAAATTTTTTTTAGTCACGATTTCAACTTTGAGGCATACGCACGTCGTTTTTGCCGCGCGCGTTGTTTTAAACCCCTCTTTTTTGAAAGAGGCTCACGAAAACCGAAACTGAAAACTGAGTCAAACGAACAACACGCACACTTCTCTACTATGTGCGTGTGTGCGAGTGGCCACTAAAAGTAATATCGTGTTTACAAAAAAAAAAAAAAAAAATACCTGTAATACTACACAAATAGAAACAAAAAGTGCAAGTGTGGTAGCAATAATAACAGAAACGTTTTCAAAGAAAATATGAGGAAGTGCATGCAGTGGAAATTGAAAATCTTTGAGCTTTATGGTTGAAGTTCCGAATTTGTTGCGTGCCGAAAACATTTGTCAAGCATTTGTTGTTATTGCTAAGGAAACTGAGAAAACTGTTGCGGTTGCGGTTAATTAAATCGCGAGAAGTGGAACACAAGAACTAATCATCTGACGACCCCAAAACTGAACAGAATTTAAAAAATCAAAACAACATGAAAAGTGGGGAAGCTGAGTGTAAATCCCTGTAAAGGCAAGGGCAAAACTTCTGCATTATCAGACTCGTTAGTTGCTTTTTATCTTTTTAAACCCGTTCTTATAGTGGTGGCAAAGTAAACAAAAAGTAACTTACTGAAAACTTAAAAAACACATTCTCTTTTGTGGGAATTATCTTATGCTTTTATTGAACTGACAGCTATTAAGTTGTGTAAACTATTAAAAATCTTAAATACTTTTGTAATGTTAGGTCATAATTTCTTTTATCAATAGACAAGCAGTCTAACATTAAAGCTATATATAAACAGTTTAAACTGAGAATTTAAAGACCCGAAACTCTGATTGTCTTAAGCAAGACTCGCTTAAAAATTCCAGCTTGAAAATTTGCCATCATAAATTCCACTCTTAGCTAGAGAACATTTTAATCTTTAATTATATTTTGTCATTTTTTCTTGTCTCCCCGCTTCTGCCATCTTCCTTTCTGGCTCCCGCTTCAATTTAGGCTAATTATGTTGCTTGGGCGGGTTGGCGCAGACATAGTGTAGTGCCTTGTATATAGGGCTGGGTCTTGGCCGTTTATTTCGTGCTGCATATTTTTAGGCGCTCCACTTGCCATTGTTGTTTTTTGTGGGTGTACGCGATTTTTTTGTTGCTGTAATTATAATAACAGCTTCTGGTGTTGCTGCTTTATTATCTGCACCTGACTTGTTAGCTATTTGTTTGTGTTTATCCAGCCATTGTTGGGTTTAAACAAAGTCGCTCGGTACCTAACTAAAAAATAGTAAATACGCGAAAAATTTGAATATTATTGTTTGATATCAGGGTATGACAGTATATTTATTTATAAATATTTATAAATATTTGTTAATTGCCGATGTTGTCGTAGATTTGTGAATGCCCATAAATAATAGCCAACAATGGTAAACTGTTGGTGAATGTAATACCTATAGACACGTTCGCTCGTGAAAACTCAACGGCTTATTTTTACGAATAGTGGTTTATTGCAATCTAATAGAGGTTTTTTTCGAAATGTTTCAAGCCTTGACTTTGTATTATCTCAATCATTTGGTTATCCATGTGTTTTTAAACTTATCAGCCCGATTTTCGTTTGACTTAATTGTGAGCATTCATAAAATTATAATTTCCAAATAGATAACCAAATTGACCATAAATTGTTCAATAATGCATTCTTTCGCAGAGGCCATAATTTCCCCATACTAAAATATGACTACTTCTCGTTTCTCCGACCCCATTTCTGAACAAAATTCCTGGCACATTCATATTATAAACAGCAATAAACCGATATATGTTAATTGCCTATAAGTTCCTCATGTGTAGGATGACCGATTTTGCTGGTTTTGGTCTCATAAAATAATATTTTGGTTGACTGAATATCGGACCGATAAAATATTGTTTAATAACTGCACTCAAATGAATTTGCACACTTCTCGAATAAATAAAAAAAAATGCCATTTTAAAACGGGGCACCACTTGGACTTTAAGTCACCAGCTCAATTGGCTGGCAAGCGGTTTCCGGACGCTCTAAATCAACCAAGAGGTTAAGGAGCGAGCGGGTACTGGATTTTGAATTTATGTGCCAAGGTCTTTCCTTCGTTTTTCCGCTTTTCTACGCTTTTCCCGCATCGGAACCGAGAAAAGGCTGCTGTAATTAATCTTTGCCCAAAATGCTTGAAAATTTATGTCTTTAACTTGAATGCAGCGACGCTTCATATGATGGAGAAAGCAAAAGGGGGGCAGAAGGTCCTTTAATAGTTTTTGCCTTTAACTTTTCCGTTGTTTTCGTTCGCGTCGCGATTAAAAGTGATTAATAGCCAACATTTTATTACCGCACAGAGGCAGCACTAAAAGGAGAACCCCCGGGAACAACAACTTAATGTCCAAATGAAATAAGTGAAATTTTCACACCGAAATTAATAAAGACATTAGTGCGTGTGGGCGTGGCTCATTTGGGGCATTTAACGGAGGCAAAGATGTGTGCACTGGATCCCTTTACCCAGCACCAGCTGCCGCACCACCATAAAACCGAGCACCACCAATGCCACCAACAGCTGAGGGTGGAGCAACAGGCTCCGGGCACGAGGAAATCTGCCACAAGAAGGACGGCGGCCACGAGTTTGCAGATCTGGTATATCCTACATGTGATACTAGTCCTAATCGGTGAGTTATAAATCTCTTCCCTAAAACGAAAAAGGTTCTTTTGGGGCACATTTAAAATGGCTCATAATTAATGCACGGGTTGCGGGTCTCTTTTTTCTATTTTATTTATTCACAAATATTTGTTCGAGGGGTATGTCTAAACACTAATGGGAATTGTGTGCCTAAGTTTGCCAGAGTCAACTGAGGGATATTATTTGAAGTGCGAGGTCTAATTTTACAACTTTACAAGTCGAATTACTTTGTTCCATGTGAAAAAAAATAGATTATTGGACAAGCATTAATCTAAAGCTAAACCACCTTTTCAATGCGGTGTTTGTGTAACTCAGTATCTTGTACGAACCCTTGCCAAGAAAAATAGCTTTCGGCAACAAAGAATTATTTCAAGCATTTTTCAAAGAACTTTTAAGTGAAGTAACAAATATCTCAAATGTTTTCCCAGCATTTCTCAGAAAATCTGAAGCCAAACAAGAAGTTTACGCATTTCATAATCAAACATTTTTGCAGCATTCTTTCTCTGGACGGAAATCCAACTGCCTCAAAACGAATTTCAGCAAAAATCCCAAGAAAAACAATCAACAAATTGAAAGCCAAAGACCAAAACAATCGAACAAGTCCATTGGCCAAAGACAAAAGGGCCGATAAGGACAAATTGAGGGACGCAGATGGAATAGAAATTAATAAATTGGAAAAGAAGTCCGCACTTTGTGCTTAGAAGAGAAATGCTACTAATCGGTTCTCTTAGTTTGGGTTGATATAAGAAGTAGCTACAAAAATGACACAACTATTTATTTTCTAAGAATGTGTGGCATTAGAATATAAAATACATTTCCATGTCAAAAAGTTGCGATTAAAAAAAAATCATGTGTGCTTCATCGGTAATGTTAGTAATGTTAATGTTATTTTCTTTTTAAGGGTATATTTTATTTCACATGTTCCGCTTCTATAACATTTTCAATCATCGTTGGTGTTGTGTTTTGTCGCATTTTTCGGGGTTCAGGCGAGCTAAGTTGACATTTCCGCCAGGGCAAGAACGTGCGGGGGTTACTAATACGGGTGGCGAAAGAGCGAGGGACCGAAAACTGCGGGAAGAGACTGTAACTGTCTTTTCATTATTTTCAAATCATATCACAAAGGGCGGAGGACAGGGAAGCACAGGAGACAGGGAATGCTGAGCAGCGGAAGCGGATATGGAGCCAAGTGAATGTTTGCACACCAGCGGGGATCTGCAGGTCCTTTTCCGCTCCCCATATCCCCCCACTTATCCAGCCCCTTTCCCGCTCTCTGTGTGGGTGCGTTGGCTTAATTCTACGTCTCATTTGCATACATTAAAATGTCACATTTTACATGTCGTTTGTGCGTCTCGCCTTAAGCCTAACAGCAGTAACAGCATCCGCAGCAGAAGGCAACGTCAGTTAGCGTTAGGGATACTCCCTCCGAGCCAAAGAGCCATCCTCCATCCAGCCGTGGAGCCATCCGAGAACCACCCAACCCACCCTCTCCTACACATAAACTACATTAGCAATTGGAGGCAGCCGAAGGCAGCCATGTAAAAATGGCTTAACGCGCAAATCTTTCAACTAAACATTAATCCTAATGGTTTTCAATTTTGTTGCGCCTTCTGTGGCAAGTCAAGTTCGCGTCTCTCTTTATTTTCCAGTCTGTTTTTTTTCGCAATCCACAACCGACAAGCGACCCACACCTACTTTCTCATTTTTTGCGCTCTGACTTTGACTCTGGTTGGTGGGCCCTGCTTTGCATGTTAATACGCTCTTTGATATTGCCGAGCAGCGCCTGCAGCCTGATTGCTTCTGACAGCGTCCCTCAAAAACGCCCAACCCCCCCGCGGGCTAACTGTAAATATGAAATTCGTTAAAATTTCATTGGAAATTCAGCTCGTTCTCATTGAATTTCACCAAAAATAATGCTTAAACGCAAATACATCAGCTCCACCTGCTTTGGCTTTTCTTCTATAGTTAAATGTATATGCGTATATTATATAGGTATGTGTATATCTACGCGGCCAATTTGCCGCCCACCACTCTCATTAGCCGGTAACACAATTTCCCATTAATCAAGTCGGCCCCACAGTGGAAATTGCCCTTGACTCACTTACGATAAAAAGAAGAGAAAAAAATCGACAGGGGTCAAAATAATCGTATGAAATGTGGTGGGTATCACTCCCTCTTTTTTATTTATTTATATTACCTGGTAATTGATGTAAATTGTATTTTGGTGGGGACTCACAATCTTAGCCCTCATGTACTAATATTTTTTGTGAATGCGTGTTATTTTATTAATTAATTGCATCCACAGACAGAAAAATAAATTTGGGAATTACTACATTGAATGTACCCGAATAAGTATGCTATACTTTTTATTTTGGGCTTATGACTACACACAAATAATTCTAAACTATTTTTTGGGGTTTTCAATCGAGATTTAATAACTGCAACCAGGATCAAAAAGCTTTATTTATTAGGGGAAATATATGTTCTTCGCATATTGCCAAAGACAGCCACAAAACTACCCGGCAGATGATGCATATGTGGGCATTACGGGCTACATGTGTGCCCACTAATACCCCACTGTGTACTTATTCTGCCACATCCCCTGATCCATATATTGCCATTAAATTGTTGCTAGCAAACTGAGCATAAGCTCAAGTAGGCTTTTGTTTAAATAAAACTGTGTCGCCACAATGGCCAAGGCAACTGAGTCTCCTTGTGGGTGAGTATTTTTTCGCCTGTTTTGTATTTGTTTTGATTATTCACACACGCAGACACAGATTGTTGCAATAGATAGAATACACACACATACTCAGACACGGTGGTATCAATGTCCTGTGTTTGCCACACAAAAACATTTTGAGCCACTAAGCTTTTGTTGAAGTTTATCTCTGCATTTGCCCAATTGATGGAAGCTCCTCGATTGTTTCTATTTTCTTTTCTTTTGTTGTTTTTTCTACTTTTATTTATTGTCGTTGACATAAACAGCAGGTTGTGAAGGTGCCTCAAACAAAAATAAATCTAGGGGGACACAAATGTTCATCAACTGTAATCCAGAACATTCGTGCATATTTCATGGCACTTTCGGGTGACATCATTGTGATGGAACAAATTGCCTAAAATGTGTTTGGTGTCTAAATTATATAAGCTTTAAATAAAAAAATTACCTAATTTAGATTCTATTGATTTTGATACTTGGAATAGTTCAGAGAATCATAAATTATTAGATATTTTACAGTTTGATCATTTTTACAAAAAACATTTCTTTTTCTAAAACGTTTGGTTACATTTTTAAACTTAAAGTGAAGGAGCCAACAAAAGAAAGCCAAGATGAATACAAAGTCACAGGACAAGCAAACAGTTTCAGAGCCGGTTTTCGGTTCAGTTCGGCTTAATTTTGTCCGATCCGGTCAGTAAACGCCCCTAAGCAAATTGAAACAAAATAAAAGCCCCGTGTGTTGACTTCTTTTTGGGGGCTTTTTTGTGTAGCTTTATTGAAATCATTAGAGCATAGGGAAGGCACAAAAAGTGTGTGTTTGGGCCTCGGTAGGATTTGGCATTAATGTCTGACGAGGCTCAGACGAACGACCGACTGAAGCCTATTAATCATGCAGACTTTACGTTCCATTAAGCAGTGGGATGGTTGAACAAAAAAAAAAAACAGAAGATGAAGGAGATGTGTGAGGTTATGCCCAAAAATGTTCGAAGCATAATTCCTCAACTCGGTCGGATTACGATTGGGTCAAACCAGGACTAGGCCTAAACAAACTGGTTGCATAATCAAGGTTATGGTCAAGCATGTGATACCCTAAACATTCTGCAATGCTTTGGACTTATAGGAATTAAAAAAAAAAACATTAAAGCATTAGCGTGGGAAAACTTAATTTAGAATTATTATGTATTTGGTGATGTAGAGTCAAGTAACTTTAAAGTCCTTTTTCAAACCAAAAGTAATATATCGATTTTTTTCAGTACCCAGAACCCCTTCATTTTTTAAACTCGATATCTTACACCTCAACCTCCCATCTCCACTTTCCCATTCGCCACTTGCGGCATGTGCGAAGGTCCAAAGTGTAAGCAAGAGCAGAACCCCAGAAAAGACCGGGCAGAAATGGAGAAGCGCAAACATTGCGCAGCAAACAAAGTCAGTGGCCGCTGGCTGCCACTTGGCCATTTGCCTGTTTCCAACTTCTGGCTCCTAATGGCCAAAATATTGTATTACAACAAAATGTGCAGCTAGCTCGAAAAAGAGCAATCCAAGCCGGGGAGAAACACCCTTTTAAAACGGACCCCGAAAGGGTCCTTGTTTCCACTTCCCCCACTTCATCAGCTGCTGCTGCTGCTAACGATATGGAAAATTTATCAAAAAATCCAAGGGGCCGGCAACAACATGACACCGTCTGACCGTTCGTCCAGGCATAAAATAATCAGCCCAGCCAAGGATCCACAGGATGGGTGTGGGGAAATTGGAAGGAAATTGTGCGGAGGGCGTAGGAAAAGGCAAATGTTGGGCTAAAAGGCTTTCCAGGTCAGACCTGGCAACCTCAACCTCATAGGCGTTGATGGCCAGCAAATTGATTTGGATTCGCAGTCAGAAATTATCAAATGTGCAAATCGAGAAGAGAAATCTGTATCAGGGTATCGGGATATGGAAAGGGAGATTAATACGGTTACATGATCCGATACGAATAAATGAGTAAAAAGGGTATAGTTTTATATTACGAGATGGGTTCACCCTCCCCTTTTTATTAACTTAAAATTTTAAACTATTACACGTTATTTGATCAATGTACTATATTAACAAGTTCATATCTAAATTGTCTTAAAACAGATTATATAATGTAAGCTCAGTAAAGGTACGTACTACTGCCTCTTCAAACTCATTCATAGCTTGACCTTCGCTTAGCTATTTTTAAATATTTAATGCACTCGGCGGAAGAGAGCACTTGATTAGGAGAAAGTGCAGGCAAGCGAAAGTAAAGGCTGGTGGGAGTG